ATTTTTCTTTGTTAGATGGTCCTCTTCTTTTGTGATTTAATTGTAAAAGAAAGGCAGGAAAGATGGCCCAGGAGTTAAGAGCAGGTAATGTTTTTGCAGAGGACCCAAGTTGGGTCTCATGCTGGTTAGTTGATAATGGCCTGTAACTGCAACTCCAGGAAATTTGACTTCCTCTTCTGGTCTCCACATGGTGAACATAAACTCAAGCAGAAGCAAACACATACACATAAAATAAAAATAATAAAACAGCATAGATTTTAAATAGCTTTAAATTCACTGAGTTATCTATTACCACTGCTCTAATTTTATTGCTAACACTGTTCTGAAAAGACTCTTCAATATGTTTTCAATGTTCATTACTACAACTCTCTCATCCTTCAAGCACTTTCTTTCTGCCTGTCACCATAGTGTATTTGAAGTTCATCTTATACAATTCCTACTTCAGGATAGAATTAAACATTTCCTCCAAGAGCTTCCATTTTCTTTTAGTGGGCAATAATTTTAGAATATTTTCTTAAGGTACATGTATTATTTATAAAGGAAAACACATACATTGAAGGTGCATGTCTGTTTATTCTTTCTCGAGTGATATCCCCAACTAGTACAACGAGTAGTGCTTTTGCCCTGTATTTGAAGCTAAGTAACACCTTGAGGCATTTTAGTTTATCATCCTTCATTTAATATGAATGAAAATCTTCTTTAATACCTTTGCAATAGGGAAGAAAGATCGAATTCAACTCTATGCCCAACTTTTATTTGTTCATACCACTTCCACCAAGCCTTGGAGAGGGAAACAAGGGAAACAATTTTAACAACTCTGCAAGTATTGAGGATCTGCTGCCTTGTGCTACTAGTGCCTACCCCATTGCACATGCTTGGGAGGCATGCATTTTATATGGCAGAGTTGCATTTCACTGTGAAAATTACCACTTTCTGAGTGACAGCCCCTGCTTAGTCTTTAAAGCATTCTCAAAAAAAAAAAAAAAAACAAAAACAAAACAAAACAAAAAAAAAAAAAAAACAGTGTCTGATTCCCTCTCGACTACCCACCGCTATTACACTAGCTTCCTTGGGACAGTGAGGTGCATTGGCAAAGTCCAGGTGAATGCGAGTGCATGACATGACAAGAAGAGAACCATATTAAAGAGTCAGCCTACTGTTTAGTCCTTTCTTCTCCTCATTCCTTCTGTCATCTCCATTTACCCAACATCTCCTATTTCCTGCTTCCTTCTATACTCTCCCTTAATTTCCTTCCTTTATGGCTTTTTCTTTTTTCTCAACCTGTCCCTCCATCCAGCCATTTTCCTGGGGATTCTGTTTTGATCACAAGCCTAAGTTATAATCCAGAAGATTTAGAGTATATTCAGATTCCCAGGATGAAAAAAAAACCACTGGAGCCATTAATCTGGGGAGAAATAGGAAAAGAATGACTGTGATATGTCCCATATTTAAAAGAAAAGAGTTGAATATTCTGCAAGAACCACTAACCTACTTGCTGAGAAATAGCTCCAAGGGATGGGGTAGAGGAGAGAGACAAGGATCTGGGAGGAGTTGGGAGAAGAAACTGTATGATCAGAATATATGGTATGGAAAAAACTTTTTGAAAGATTCCACTTCTCTATGTTCTGGGTTATAGGCATCTTACTATCAGCTATTAGCAGCCTCACATTTTTTTCAAGGAGGACTGTAGGTACTATTCTCAATGGAAAATAAATATAAGGTTTTGTGGTTTTGTCAAAGTTTATCTGTAGGATTCTAATTTAATTTCAGGAAACATACCTCAGAGACTATTTTGCTCATTTTGTTTTTTTTTTTTCTAGGCCAGTCTTCCTTGTATAGTGAGCATTTGGATTGTACTGGGAGTTTTAAAGGGTTAATGTTAGACAATTTCTACTGACTATAGTAGATAATTAGAGACAAACAAGGGGTGAAATATTTGAATAAAATAATGAACTAAAACTATCATCTGATTTATCAATTGAGTAAAAGTCATGCCTTTCTGTGGATGAAGGTTTCCAATATTGGACAGAGGAGTCAAATCAGTTTGAGTCTTTGACACATTAATTTTGTGAAGACCATCCTTCACCCTTTCCAATGTTGACACAAGAAAAATGAAGCACAGATGTTTTCAGAAATGGGAAAGAATTACCACGAGTCTCGTATTATCAGCACAGTGAATTTGCCCATCTACAGAAGAATGATTATTGCTAAGTGTGTAATAGTAAAGCCCTTCTCTCTCTCTCTCATTTGTGAGACCCTAGGAAGAAGAGATTCTCCTGCAAGTTATATATTGACAACCAATAGCAAGTGTCTGCTGAGCTCCTACTTAAGCATATGTAGAACAAGGGACTTGGGACATTTTGCATGATATAGAAAGAAATGGAAAGAAGTCAGAATCTTCATACTGGAGGAAACTGATGAAAAAGTCAGGTAGAAGAGGCATACCCATAAAAAACTAGAAAGCAATAAATTAATGTTTGGCCAGTTGGTGCAGCCCATAATCCAAATTACTCAAGGAAGCAGAGGCAGAAGAATTGCAAGAGTGAGGTCTACCTGGGCTATAGAGTATGTTCAAGACAAACCTAGGCAATTTACAAGGATTGTCTCAAAATGAAAAGCAAAAAGAAATATGGGACTATATAGAGGGCTTGCCTAGCTTGCATGAACAAGGTCTTGGTCCAATACTCAGTACCACAAACAATTAACTAAAGACAGTGCATAGTAAGTGTAAGATGAGAAGAGCTGATAACCCTATAAAAATTCAGCTATGTTAGGAGGAAGAATGAGAGTATTTGATGCATCAATTAGTCTGCAAAATATTCAAGATGACAAACTAGGAATTGTAAGGATCGAATTCAGATGTAGGCAGATTGGACTGAGCATGAAGAAAGAGGGAGGGAAGCAGAGATGAAATGGAGATTTGAGCATTTTCATATCTATTCCTTGAGTACAAAGAGGCGGCTTGTTCTTTTAAGGGTTGGAAATGATACAGGAGAAATGTGGTAGTTTGAAGGAAATCGGTCCCCATAATCACATAGGGAGTGGCACTGTTAGGAGGTATGACTTTGATGGAGTGGATATGACCTTGCTGGAGGAAGTATGTCACTGTGGGGGCAAAATTTGACGTATGCTCAGAATACTTCCAAGTGTCTCAGTCAACTTCTTGTTGCCTGCAAGATACAGGACTCTCAGCTACTAACCCAACACTACACCTGCCTGCATGCCTCCATGTCCCCTGTCATGATGACAATGGACTGAACCTTGGTAACTGTTAGCAAGCTGCCCCCAATGAATTATTTCCTTTATAACAGTTGCTGCGGTCATGGTGTTTCTTCACATAAATAGAAACCTTAACTAAGACAGGAAACTATCCTGGGAATAAATATGGTAGCAGCTTCAAATGGCCATTGTAGTTGACCATTTCATATAAGGCTCTTTTGGTCACAAAAATGGAAGCCACTTAATGTAACTCAAGAAAAACGGCAATGACAGAATGTTCCAATTATAACACGAGGTTGTATGTTCAAAAGTAGCTCATAGGTCAGAAATGAAGGACCCTCTGTGACTTAGGGCCACATTGTCTCTGTTTCCTCTTATGTCTGCTTCATCCTTTTTTTTTTTCCAGTCCATCTACTCTCTTATCTTCTCCAGAGTTGAAGCACGGCTCCTCTGATCACTTCTTTGACAGCAAAAATCTTTTCTCTACAGTATCAATCGTTAACTAGCTATATTTTCTGGTTAGATGTTTAAGAGAAAGAGAATCTCTTCTATACCTGAGTAAACAGTTTATTAGCTGGTTCAGCTCAGCTATCCACCTCAATAGACCGTTGACTTCAGGCTTGTGCCTGCTTCCCAGAGTCCTTAACCCAAGGCAGCAATGGTACAGGTACCTCACAAAACAGTAAGAGCTAGGGCAGAAGGAAGAGAATAAGACGGTGAAGCGAAGATCAGTTTGCTAATTACAGGCCTCCTTCTGGCTGTAGCATTTTCAATGGCCTATTCATTCCTCAATCTTTGAAAGAAAGAAGAGAAATGTTGAAAATATTTAATGACTTCAGGTTCCTGGAAATGGATGTGAACATTCAAAATGAAGACTGTGTCTCTCTTTAGGTAACAATTTGCTTTGTTATTCATTTCTGCAATTTATTAAGAAATCTGAAAGGAACATCAGCTTTTCTGAGAAGCACTCTTAAAATCAAGTCACAATGAATTGTGTGGCACAGTGACTGCGGTTATTAACAATGTATTATATGCTTGAAAATCGGAGTCAATTTTAATTGGCTTCATAGAAACAAAAACCAGATAACTATGTGAGATAATACATATTCTAATTAGCTCAAGTCTTTGTATAATGTATATATATTTTGAAACATAATATTGTACACAATAAATAAATATATATAATTTTTAAAGGGAAAAATCTCATGGGAACCCTTGCCTAGACAAAAACAACTTTGGGCATCTAAGGAATGATGAGAGGGGGAGAAATAGTTTTCCCCAGGGAAGACTTCACCTAATTGGTTATTCAATACCAAACATTCAGTCCAGAAATTATATACATACAAGTAACATTAAATTACTGAGCACATTGTATTATATATTTAGGAATGTGTGTGTGTGTGTGAGAGAGAGAGAGAGAACACAGAGAAACACACACAGAGAGAAGAGAACACACACAGAGAAACACACACACACAGAAAGAGAGAGAGAGGGAGAGAGAGAACATAATGTTACTTCTCAAGGCATACATTATAGGCCAGCTAGAATGAGGCAAGGGACATGATCAGGTTGCCAAATTTTAGAAGGCAATTTCAGAAGGCACTCACTTTTGGGGTTATGAGAATTCAGAGTAAATATTTTCATGACTTAATGGTGAGTACTTCCTTAAATTTTGCACCTCAGCAGCTTAACTTGCTTCACCTTGGTCCTGGCTGTGGGATCATCCATCATGATGTTGAACAATTTACATAGAACCATTCGTTTCCTTTTTGCTGCCCCAGGTACAAAGCCATTGTCCGGCCAATGGATATCCAGGCATCACATGCCCTGATGAAGATCTGTCTCAAAGCTGCCTTGATCTGGATCGTCTCGATGCTGTTGGCCATCCCAGAGGCTGTGTTTTCTGACCTCCATCCCTTCCATGTGAAAGATACCAACCAAACCTTCATTAGTTGTGCCCCCTACCCACACTCTAATGAGCTGCACCCCAAAATCCACTCTATGGCTTCCTTTCTGGTTTTCTACATTATCCCACTGTCAATCATCTCTGTTTACTACTACTTCATTGCCCGAAATCTGATTCAGAGCGCCTACAATCTTCCCGTGGAAGGCAATATACATGTCAAGAAACAGGTGGGTGCTTACTGTCGGTTCATTTTCCTCCTTAGGTACTTGGCCTCTTGCACTAATTCTGAACCTTAGTGACAAGTATGGTGTGTAAGTGACCACTCACTTGATTTTGAGATTCTAGGAAGTGAGTGAAGCCTCTTTAGGGGCTTTGGGTTATTTCTGTGATAGGGCACTTGCATAGCATACTCTAAGCTTCCGGATTCAGTCCCCTGGAACAGTGAAAAAAAATATAATTTCAGGGACTCCAATGCTTTCTATAGATTTATCTTTTAATTTTAATCATGCTGTTTGACCAGGAAGAGAGGGACCACACAGATAAAGCAGAGGGAGAGGAAAATGAGACTGGGTGAGGAAAAAGATAATCTGGCTAAAAACAGCTAGAGAGCTGACTAAAGTCAAAGGACATGACATGCTTGAACACCAACGTCTTCATGAAAACCATCTCAATCTAGGCAATGCATACCTAGGCTTGCAGAATGATTGACTCAAACCCAGATTTGAGTTTCCCTTTTGAGGCCTCAGTTTTCTTATCACTGTTATAATGGTGATACTTTCTCTTTTGTAAGGTTATTGAGAGTTGAAGAGAGCATGTGTAAGAGCTACAAGTCCCAGAATGCAGAATAACCCCCTAGGTCACTCTACCCTCTATCTCCATAGAGCCCTGAAATTTTATCCTAGAGGGACAAGTAGAAACTAAGGGTTCTGGTTTTCCTTTTTGCCAGTATTTTAATTTTTTGATTTATGTATTTTAACTTGATGTATATGACTGCCTAAAATGTATGTGCACCATGAGTGTGCATGGTACCCATGGAAGTTCGAGGAGGGCATGAAATCCCATAGGAGTAGATTAATATGTGGTTGTGAGCCACCCTGTGTGCAGGGAACTTAACCCAGGTCCTTTTCGAGCCACCTCTCCAGCCCTAGCCACTTCTTTTTGCTTCCTATCCCAAATGCAGATCATATGTATGTATGTGTGTGTGTGTGTGTATATATATACACACACAAAAATACACACACATATATACACATATATATATATGAACAAAAATGAAACACACACACACACACACACACACACACACACATATATATATATATATATATATATATGAACAAAAAGACTTCCCAACTCCATGGAAGTGAATAGCCAATTTCTCTTTTTTTCTTTATTCGAAGAATTAACACATTTTTTGTTTTTTAATTTATTTATTTTTTATTGAAAATTTCCACCTCCTCCCCTCCTCCCATCTTCCTCCTCTCCCCCTACTTCCTCCCTCTCCCTCTCCAGTCCAAGGAACAGTCAGGGTTCCCTACCCTATGGGAAGTCCAAGGTCCTCCCTGCTCCCCCCAGGTCCAGGAAGGTGAGCATCCAAACAGACTAGGCTCCCACAAAGCCAGTCCATGCAGTAGAATCAAAACCCAGCACCATTGTCCTTGGCTTCCCCGTCAGCCTCCACCGTCAGCCACATTCATAGAGTCCGGTTCCCCTTCCAAAGTTCGTTCCTTACCAAGGAGAAATAACAGTTGTCAGTACAACTGACTATCTATTTGAAAGGCCTTTAATAAACAAACACCCACTCTACCGCAAATTGTTTAGTGAGGAAAAAGTCCCCCCTTGAAGTCACAAAGGTAGTTAAGCACAAAAAGAGATGTTCACTCTGCCTTGAATAATCACCTTCCTCACTGTGTCATCCAGAAATAGCTAGAGGTTAAAAAATAATAATACAGACTTATCTCAGCTTGGCCAATGAGGAAGAATAAAGCTGGCTGCTGTCTTGAGCATCAGAGGGGATAAGAAATAATTAACTGTAGAGTAAAGAAAGGCATGAAGTCGAATGGCTGATAAACTGCCCCAATGCTCTCTGGAGGGAAAAGAGGGCATTTACTAGCATTTCATTGTGCAATCCATTCAAGCATGTAATCAACTTTATTTCAAGATCTGGTCTCAGCAGTATGATGTAACTATTTTACCTCACGTGTTTCTGCTTCCTGCCTTATCAATCTCTGTTTCTGATTTAGTCCCCCCCTCCTCCGCCTCATTATATTCATCTCCAATTGAACTCTTTCTGGTAGCTCTGCTCCCTCATCCATTTCCCTGTCCCCGTTTGTCTTCATCCCTCTAACACTGCACCCCCTCTGCCTCTTTCTCTGCTCAGATCGAATCCCGGAAGCGACTTGCCAAGACAGTACTGGTGTTTGTGGGCCTCTTTGCCTTCTGCTGGCTCCCCAATCATGTCATCTACCTGTACCGCTCCTACCACTACTCTGAGGTGGACACGTCCATGCTCCACTTTGTCACCAGCATCTGTGCCCGCCTCCTAGCCTTCACCAACTCCTGTGTGAACCCCTTCGCCCTCTATCTACTGAGCAAGAGCTTCAGGAAGCAGTTCAACACTCAGCTCCTCTGCTGCCAGCCTGGCCTGATGAATCGCTCCCACAGCACTGGCAGAAGTACCACCTGCATGACCTCCTTCAAGAGCACCAACCCCTCGGCCACCTTCAGCCTCATCAACGGAAACATCTGTCATGAGGGGTACGTCTAGACTAACCCTTCAACCTTGCCTCCTAAGGGACTCCAGATTTTGTTTTATGGATGGCTGGAAGCCCCGGAATCGGTTGTTATCTCTGGACCTTCTGAAGACCCTTCAGGAGGCTGAGTGATGCAGATGGGTAGAAGAGATGACCAAATGCATCAACTAGTATTGTATCTCAAAGTAAGCCAGTAGGCTTCCTTTTCCATTTCAGCCTGGGAGGGCTTTTTCTGATGGCGATCAAATTTTCCTTTAAAAAAGAAGGAACAAATTGGAAATTATTATTCAAAGCACCAAGTCCTGCAATGCAAGTATGGTCAATTAAGTCATAGGAATTGTATGAGCAAAGAGAGCCGAGAAACCACACACTGAATATCTACTCTGTGAAAGATTTTATTTAAACAGAAGCTGATTGCTTTCAAAACACGGCTTGACTCTTTTTTTCCAGAAATATCTATAATATGTAAACCAAGGGACAACTTTAATTTACATTCCTAAAATAAGAAGCCAACTCCAAAAAAGAGTCCCATGTATGAGGAATGGACTTCATTAATAACATTGGAAGCCAGTGTAATATAAAACAAACCTCTAAATATTGACTTTTAAAAAGATGTTGCTGAGGACATAGGAGAAACACCCAATATAAATTGTAAGGCACAATACAACCAAACACATGGGTCCATATATGGATATAGAGCAACAGTTTATGTTCTGACTTCTTGTTTCATAGGAATTCGGATTGTTGTTAACCCAATTTGGGCGATTGTAGTGTCATTCTGCCATTTAGGTGAAATCTTTTTACAGGGAAAATGTTCATTTTATCCAAGTAACAACTATTTATAAATGTATAAAGGATGGCATTTATTCTTGGTGTACATGTTTTGAATCCAGTACCTTTACTTAGGTTTAATTGTGTTTGCTATGGTGAAGCAGGAGTTTCAATACGAGGAAGATCATAACTGTAGAGAAGTAAAATCATGTTTATATTGGCTGTATAGTTCCCCTAAAATGTGTGGAGGAAATTAATGTAGTTTTATTAACATGAATTTGTGTCTGAACATGTCTAAAAAACAGTCACAGAAAGCTTAAATTTTTGACCCAACCAAAAAAGGTACATATTTGTTGCTATTTTAAAAGACTGTGTATGAAATAGCCCACAGCCCACATGCAGATAAAGACTGGACCGGTGGCTCCATCTCTCTCTAAATGCATAGAAAGCAGCACCCTGTAAAGTTTGGACTATCTTACTTGAGAAATCCTTCTTTGACTTTTTCTGAACTTAAAGAAGGGCCAATTCTGACAGACTGTGAATATGCAGACTCACTTGACTCTAAATCCAAGTTGTACAAGTGTTTCTTAATGTGTATCCCTTAAATCCTAAGGCAATTTTATTTCAAGCTTTCTCTGCCTGGGTGAGATATAAACAGTAAGCACATAGCACATATAAAAAGCTTTCTGTCGGTTGATGCGGGGAAGTACTGGCTGGCTGTGGAACTTTAGGCATTAGACCCAAGACAGTGTAAGGATCTGTGCTGCTTACAATTGTACCAGCTGGAACAAAATCTCTTCATTCCCGCCTTCTCTGGGCTTTTATGTACTATAAACACAAGCTTTCCTGGTAGTCCTTCATTACACTGCACTGTTTGAAAAGCGAGACAGACAGCAGAGGTTAAAAAAAAATCAAGAAGACTTGCTATCCCAACATCACCTCTAGCTATATGACTTGGTTATCTGTTTTCGCTCCTCTAGGCTCCCATTTCATGTTTAAAATGAGAAGACAGAGCAAAGTCCCTTCTATTGCTAAGACCCCCCCGTGTCTTTTCATCCCCTCCAGTTCTGTCTTGAGTGTGCATCCATGTGGCCCATCTCCTTACAGTTAGTACACTTCTCTTTCTTCTATGACCAGAAGTCACTGGAGACCCCTTACCCACTCTTCCATGCCCCCGGGTACATGGGTGGGATGAAAGAAGCTAGGTTGTTCTGCTACCTGGAGGCTTTTTGGCATCACTCACATTAGGAAAGCTCCATGAGCTTACAGGGTTAGAATTAGAGCTGAAAGCTACATTAAAAAAAAAAAAAAAGTATGGCTCAGTCTTCTCCCCATTCAAAGGGAACTCTTGCTCTTTGCTCTTCTTTAGCTTTCATACACCTGCTCTATCAAAATCCTGGGTCACAATTTGCCTTTGCCTCAACCCTTCAAATCCCATGAGCATAAGTGGCTTTGTGTCTAGATAGTTGTTAACATAGACAGCGTTCCGGGATGGCTAGAATTCTGGCATATGGAATTTGGAATTGTAGTTTTAGCTTCTCTGATAGACCTGCTTCTAGAGATGTTCCCGGGACAGGTTTCAGCCTCCTGTCTCCTTCAGTTACCAGGAGGTGCAGATTGTGCGTCTCTTCATTAGCCACTAGACAAACAGTGAGAAGATCAAGGCCTGGTTATTGCTGACTGTTCTAAGGAATCTTGTTATTTCCTTGTGGCTTGTAAATGAAAGAGTTGGGGGGAGTTTTGGCAGCCGATGACCCAAAGTGATAAACCATAGGGTGAATTAAACAATGGGTCGAACCAGACCTTCTTATTAGCAAAGACTTCATTGGTCCATTCTTTCTTTAACTACATTCAAGTTATATTTTAAAATCAAGAACCTAAAATCATACGAGAAACCTGAGACCCATGTAGTGTCCCTTCTGTGCCAGGACAGAACACATTGGGACTGGAGCTGAGCCATTTCATGCCTGGCTTCCAAAGATAATCACGTTTAGCCCTTATGTCTTTGGCGAAGGAAAAAAAATCAATTTTTGCTGTGGAAACCCATCTGTGTTTATTCAATTGACAGATACTACCTTTCAATCTATCTTAAATTGAGCCTCCCCAAGGCAGGCAGCTCAACAGTGATAGATTAAGCAATAAACAAAGCAGTCTCCCCACCAAGGGCTGCTGCTGGCAGGGAAGGTACAGCTGCCATTGGGAGCGATAGTCTACAGCAAGATGATCCTCCCTGCTTAGTGCAGACAAGGCCCCTCCCTGCCGGTGATTTTATGATCCCCACAAATGGGCATGGCTCAGCCCACTTCTGGCTGCTCTCCCTTCCCGACTGAATCGAGCTTTCTGCCTCATTAGCAAAGCCTCTTTGCCCCACTAATAATTTGGTTCTTCAACTTAGAGGCTGAAGAGCCCGTAGGGAAGCTATTTAGAAGCTGCTACAGACGAAGCCATGTCTCATCCTGGTAGGAAAGTGCACACTGAGCACAAGTAAATGAACTAGACTGTGAGATGTGGGAGAACCCGGGTTGTAAAGTTCATGTTTCCGCCAAGAGGAGCAGTTGGTTATTGGTTTCTGAGCCTCATCCTGTGTCAGCTGGCCTCTAGCAAAGGAGATTATCTTTGTTTAGAGAATGATGTGGGGAATGGCATCCTCACCTGTGGGCTAAAAGGTGGCGGCTAAGTCACTTTCCTCAGAAGCTGGATAGAAACAATTGCCCTGAGGGCCTGACTGTATGAGGATTGAATGAACAAATCATGGGGTTTTTTTTTAAGGTGTGTGTGTGGGGGGGGGGGGTGATGTGCACTTTCTTGCCATTGGCTCTCTTCACATCCGTACTAGGAGGGAGAGGTTGTGAGAGAAAGGATTAGAATTCACCCTGGGGTTCAAGGAGGGGCAGAGCATATTTCACAAAATTCCTGTAACTTTGGCCCCATTTTCGGGGAATGAGCTAACAGCTGAAAAGAAGGAAGAATGCCTTACTTTACGGGACAGATCTCTCTGGCTCTCTGCATCTGTCTTCTCTCTCTCTCTCTCTCTCTCTCTCTCTCTCTCTCTCTCTCTCTCTGCGTCTGTGCATGTGTGTGCGCGCACACACACATGCTATTCAGTGAAACCGCACCACCCTAAACTCTGAGTCTACACGGCTATTCCTCCCAGCCACACCTCTCCCACAGAACAGACACAACAACTTCAACACTGCTCCACTCTTGCTGTGACTTCGGCCTTCAAGGCCAGTGAGACAGCGCAACTGGTAAAGGCACTTACTGCTGAGTCAGACGTGCTGAATTCTACCTCCAGAGCCCATGTGGCTGAAGGCAAGAACTATCCTGCAAGTTGTCTTCTGACCTCCACACGTGCACCATGGCACATGCAGGGGCCCTCCACACAACCACCCCTCCCCCCACACACATAGATAAACAAAGGTAATAAAAAGAAGGTTTGAAATATTATAATTTGGGCCTTCAAAGACATCCTTTGTTAGGCAAAGGAGGAGCAAGCATATGCTCCAGGAGAACATATATTATAGAGCACTCAACAAATAGCACACGAAGAACAAACTTGCCTTTTATGAAACCTCATGTGAGAAATGTACTCAATGGAGTTGAAATATTTTCTTAAAGTTTCAAGGTTGCACATGTATTCACTGTAGGAACCTTGGGTTAGATGATTACAGTCCATGATTAATTCAAAAGAATATTGCATTTACCTCATGTTCATGGTCTAAAAAGTATTCTCACACTCAATACCTCATCAAATCAACGTGTTTCCCACTGACCGAAAAGCCCGTTTACATCCTTTAGTATGGGAATTTAGAAGTATTAAAGTCACTTACTTGTGACCGTCTAGCACTGAATTAAAAGGTCCATGGAATCATGGGACTGAAGCATGAGCTGTCAAAATCAAACCACATTTGACCCACGAAAAGGAAAAGGCTGTTTCATCCACTGCAATTTAATGTGATTTCACTTTTCTCTGATCTGAATTAACCATTCTGAACGAGTCTGTGGCTCATTCTGTGAAAATGACAGTCATTACTTCCCCAGTTTCCAGGACGTTTTGATAACCCTAGAAAGAGACTCCTTACTTTGGCACAAGGGAGTTAATAGGGTTATTGTTGTCTGTATAGAAGCGGTAATAACTTCCCCTGTTATAAGGAAGTGTTATAATGGCGCTCCTAGGACTTAATACAAAGCTACTCTAGATGTTACCCAAAGGCCTGACCTAGTGAGAGAATGAAAAGGGATCAGGCAAAGGACTCATTGAAGACCAAGGCAGGGATGCAGTACAAACTGGTTGATCAGGGAAGTCCCTTAGCTTATACCTTCATCCCAACCCAGAGACACAGATTAGTTGCAAGGACCCACATGCTTCTGTGGCTAGCTGAAAAACCTACCCAACAGGCTGCTTGGGGACACAGGCTTGTAATCCCAGCACTCAAGAGGCTGAGGCACAAGAATTATTACAAGTTCCAGGACAGCCAGGGCTACATAGTGATACTTTGTCACAAAACAACCAAAAAAATCAAATCAACGACAAATAACTCAGCAATGGACAAAGTCAAAGAAGAGGACCCAAGTCCGAACAATTAACTCTGTGTGGTCAGGATTCATTGGAGAAAGGGTATCAAGAATGAGGCAGAGCCACTTACTCATCCCCCATCTTCCTTACTAAATAAATATGACAATGAATGGTTTCCTGGAGCCTGGGGAGCCAGGCTACAACAGGAATGGCCTCTAATAGAAAAACTATTTCTTGGACTAAGGGACTTGAGCAAAAACTCAAATAAGGAATAGGTTGTCTGGATGCCTGTTAGAAACCCAGATCCCATTCACTGTCTCTGCCCTCTCTGAGTTTTTACATTTCTAAGAGATAAGATTTATATTTTCCAAAATTCACTCCCAGAGTAATAGAACACAGAGACTCTAATAACTTTATGGTTTCTTAAGAGAATAATTTTAATGGATGATAAAACTTCATACATTCAAGACTTCATTAACTCCCAGGTAAGCTTGAAATTTTTGGTATAATTCAGGGCCTTGATATTTAAGACACATTGTATAATCTGGGCCTCTTGTGTATTCAAGATTTTCTTTGTGTTGGCTTTAGCTATGACTATAACAATGACAAAGGAAAAGTGTGTTCCCTAAACGATATTCTGTTCTGTATGCTGAGCTTTACTGATCTGTACATGACCTTTCTTGCATTCGAGACAACAGCGTTTGAGATGACACACTCCAGTGAGTTGTGAAACCACACGACACACGCCTCTTTAGTGTCATTTTATGTTTTGTTTTAAATACTAGGCACATGTTTTGTAAATTACAGTTGTACTTGTTAATATTAGCCATAAATATTTATTGCATTGAAAAATATACTCTGTGTTAAATAACTCAGAACGAGTTCCAGGTATGGTACTCAGTGTAAATAATGTCATAGCTTGGCTTTTTGGCTTTTCTAGACTCTTTGGACTGATGAATTCTGTAGAAGAAATTCACAATATGAACATGACTGACTCAGATGCTTTCGCCTTTGCCATGTGTGTAACTGTATGGCCGTGTGAAACTCGCTCTGTACAAAGTGTGCCCTGTGATTGAATTCGGAGTTCTCTAGAAATGCTTCCAAAGCTACTATCTTATCCTGTGTGCTCTCTGTGACAGTAACTCAAATCCAGTGTAGAGAACTGGATGTTCAAAGTAGTAGAAGATAGGTAGTTACTCTTATTTCTTAACACAGTAAAACATAATTTATGAACTGGACAGATGCATGCATCCAATAGTCAATAAAATAGTTGTGTGACTGCAGTCTGTGACTCTGTGTCCCTTTTATTATTAATAATAACCATTATTATTATTATTAATTTAGGGGTACATGTACAGCCTGGTACACATGCAGGAGATTAGAGACCACCTTGTGGGAGGCAGTTCCCTCTTTGGCCGTGTAGGTCCTGGGGATCAAACTCAGTTCTCGGGCTTAGTGGCAAGCACATTTTAATTGTTGAGCCATCTCTACAGCCCTGTCCCTTAGATAATTGGTTCCTCAGACCTACATCAAAGTCAATCAAGCCGATTTGTTACAAAATATAAAGTTTCTAATACTTTATTAATATAGAACATTCTGCATTGAAAAACATGCACTCCACATAATTCTCAATAACTAGAGTTTTATTACATTTTGCTTATATACTTAGCATTTTAAAACCTATTTTACTTTTTTATTTTTTAAATTTATTTATTTTGAGGTGAAAGGGTTTATTTTAGCTCACTATTCCCAAAGAATCAATAAAAATAAACATGTGGATATTTTAATGTACTTTTGAAAGTTAAATTTTTCACATACAATATAAATAAACTATGCATTATGAAAAAGTATGGAAGGGGTTTGTGATCATCGAGTCATAAAACATAAAATATGCACAGGGAGATTGATGTGTTAGGAAAATACTTGCTATGTGAAAAAATTTTCATCTATGTGTACACATAAATGGAATGCAAACTATCTTTGCACAAATCAAAGGATTTTCCCTCCGTCTGACATTTTGTCACTACTAATACAACATACAAAGAGTAGAAAATCAGAAGATTTTCCTACTTACTTTATATTTCACCATGGCAGATGAATCTGAGTCTTGATCAACAGAGCCTTCTTCCTTGACTTCTTTTAGATTTTATGTGTATCTGTAGAAACAGATTTTATTAATTCGTTATATTTTGATCTTATCCATTTCTTACTCCTCCCCTGAATCTTCCCAGGACCACCCCACTTTCCTATGTACCCTGCCACTTCATGTTGTCTTTTTCTTCTTATTTTAAATAACTCCATGACTCTGAATTTGCACTGTCCATATACTCCTGAACCATCTGGTAGTGCAGGGTTGGCCTATCAGGAAGTATACCCTTAAAGAAAATTGACTCTCCCCACCCTCAGAAACCAAGTGATCAGAGTTCTTCAGTTAAGAGTAGGAGCTTGGGAACCTCTTCTTCCTCCATGCTAGAATGTTGACAGTCTTGGTCTTGTTTGGCTCTTGTACAGGCAATCGCTGCCGCTAGGACTTTGTGAGTGCAGTGGTTCTTTCATGCCGGAGCCAGCAGTTTGCTCTTATCCTCCCTACCCTCTTACTAGACCTGGATGGAGGTGGGTGGTCCTTGGACTTCCCACAGGGCAGGGAACCCTGATGGCTCTTTGGGCTGAAGAGGGAGAGGGACTTGATTGGGGGAGGGGGAGGGAAATGGGAGGCGGCGGTGGGGAAGAGACAGAAACCTTAAATAAATAAATAAATAAATAAATAAATAAATAAATAAATAAATAAATAAAAATAAAAAAAGAACTAAAAGCACACGTCTCAGAACTAAAGGCATGGAAAATGGTATCTAGCACCAAGTTACTTAACTGTTACTGCCCCTTTTCCTCATAATGCTCAGCATCCAGCCCCAAACCCTGCAGCTGGTGATCATTGTTGTGTTGGTACTAGTGTGTTTTTGTGTCTGCTGCAGTGCCTACACACGTATATGGGTAATAATAAAACGTTTTCACCCATTCCATCCTCAGTTTACAGAAATGGTAGCATATTGGTCGCCATGCCCCTGTTTACTCATGACACACCATATTGTGAAGATCTTTTGCTACCAGTGCCTGAAATGCTTCTTTATCTTTACTAAACTTACATGGCATAACCTCATTTTTTTTTTTTACCCAGTCTCATTGGAGAACTATTTGGAGTTTTTCAGTGTTTTCCTATCATCAACAATGACATGATAAATAATAAAAATAATATGTTTGTAATTTCATGCATGTGAAAATGTTTCTGTAGGGAAAATTCTAGAATGTAGAATTGCAGAAACGAGAGTTTATAATTGTGACAACAATTATTCCAAACTCTTCTCCCTAAGACTTAGATGCTAAAATATAAGGATCCCTGCTTTCTGGAATTATCCTAGATAACACAAGGCAGACAAGCTCTTAAAAATTTATGGCTTAAACAAGACCAAAGCATAAGGATGGAAGTGGGCATGAAGTCCCACCCCTAGCCAAGGAGATATTGGCAATTATTAGTTGCTGGAAGAGGAACAGTGAGTTTTCTATATGCGTGTATCCCCTGGTAGGCCTACTATGGTCCAATAGAAGACTATATACCTAAGAACATTTGAGCAACATAAATTGGATTTAATGGGCTTTATTTTTAAAAAAGGACACAGTCTTTCCTTGGTTGGGGAGGCAGCTATGGGAGGAGTTGAGAGAGGGAAATGAAAGTGATCAAAATTTGCTATGTGAAATTCTCGAAATATTAAAAAAGAAAAGGCAAATGTGTGTAAGAATTCCTCCCATCATTTTTATAATGAATATATGCTAATGAAAGAAACATGCTAATGAAAATAAAAAATTCAATTTAAGCATGTGGGGGGGATCCTTATGAATCAAAGTGAGGAAATCCAGTTAACAGATACAAGACAATTAACACATTACCCGTGTTGAGTTCTACTCTTTTTTCTATCTACTCTATGGCTGATTGCGAAGAAAAACAAGCAGATTATAAGATGGTATTTCCAAAAGCTATTTGGCACTGAGTTCATGAATTGTTCTATCCATTTCTATAGGACCAGTGTTCAGGAAGCTAATTATTTCTTCTTTGTCACCAATTCACTTACATAAAATGTGTGTGTATTGCACGGTGATCATGTCTTTTGAAATATTTAAAATACTCAACAGCAGCTATGGCTTGATATGGTTTGAGTATCTCCTAGGGCTTCATGTCTTGAGTTGAAGCCTCTGTTGTTAGGTAACAAGAGGATCAAATTTAATCCAACTATGACATTAGAGGTGAAACCTTCAGGTGATGTGGATTAACTAAGGTCCCCATGATTAATTTTTTTTTGTTTTTGTTTTGGTTTTTTTTTTTCAAGACAGGGTTTCTCTGTAGCTTTGGTGCCTGTCCTGGAACTAGCTCTTGTAGACCAGGCTGGCCTCGAACTCCCAGAGATCCGCCTGCCTCTGCCTCCCGAATGCTGGGATTAAAGGCGTGCGCCACCACCGCCCGGCCCCATGATTAAATTTTGATGGCTTATAAAAGGAGGGAAGAAATCAGAAACCCAAATATCATACTCTCTTTGTAGTTTCTCATTGCATGTAGTATACAAAATCATGTGTGCATATTTAAAATGAAGCAGAAGTGAAACTGTTCTAGGGATACAGGGGAACAGAAGGGAGGAGAGAGGGGCAAGAAAAGGGAGGACATAATTAGAGGTAAGGTGCTTTATGTATAACATAAATCTATAAGAACATATAAAAATCAAATAAAATTTAAAATTGAAGCCACAAGGAACACACATACACACACCACACACACACAGCACCTGTCTCACTGCCCTGCACTGCCATCAAGAAAACCATCCTCTTTGGTGGCTCAAGAATACCTGTAATATTAGTACTTGGAAGTCAGAAGCATGAAGCTCATTGGAAGTTTCAGACAAGTCTTGGCTCTTTAGTGAGTTCCAAGCCAACCAGATCTACAAGCATTACTGTGTCTTAAAACAAAACAAGCAAAACAGACAAAAGACCATCACCAGCCCTGGCACATTGATATTGACCCTTCAGAGCTGAAAAACATAGATTTTTCCTTATAAATCTGTCTTTCTTGGTAACAGAAAATGGGCTAATGGAAGGAAGTTGACAGCAAAGCAATGGCATAGTCACAGTGGGTGTAAATAAGAACCACCCAGACTCTGTGCCTTGGTGAGAAGAGATAATACTTGGGGTGCCTACCAGATGTAGTCAGAAAATTTCCCGAAGGGCACACTTGTCACCATGCCAAGAGGCTTCCAGAAGGTAGACTTTGAACGCAAGGAAGTTTTCTCATCTTGCATGTGTTCTGCCGTGTACTCCACCTTCTTGATACCTAATGTGTACAGACCACAATTAAGTTGTAAATGCTTTATGGAAGTGTCAACACTTTCATATCATAACTGTGCCTAAAGTAATGCTTCAGGGATCATATGGAGAGACAGTCCAGCTAAAACTTTTGGGCTATCCAGGAAATAAAATGCCAAACTGAATGGAAGGTGACTCCACTGTGATCACTCAGTTTCATCCAAAGCCCAAGTGTTATTTCCTCTCTGAAACTCTTTGTAAGCGTTTTACCTACCATATCAGAAAAAGAAAACTTTACTAATCCACAGATTGTAGTATAGAGAGTTTAATACTCTCTCAGACGCATGGATTATCAGTGTTGTAAGACATCCCAGAGAATGCCATACATAGCCCCTAAATTTACAAATGAGGAAGTTCAAGAAAAGTGTCAGAATTTATGCTCCATTTAGTCATCAGAATTTGGGAAAATGAAAACGAATGGGCTTGGAGATGATGTAGATGAAGTGGGCGGGGTTTCAACAGTCCCCTTTGCTCTGGGAAAGGCCGGGCTGTACAGGACTATGCTGCAACACACCAAGCTTGTTCATTAGGCTCAACACTGACAACTGATGCTTTCTAACACAAGAGATATGGGGTAATTTCTCAAGGAAACAACACAGAAGCCCGAGTCCTATCCTTTGCATGTGGACTGAATTGTGTTTACTAATATAAAAATGAATTTCTGAAAGTACAACCCTTTTCTGGACTTGAGGTCAGGAAAGCCAAACACCTTGCTCCAAACCACAGGCCAACTTTAACTCCTCCCAGATCCTCTAGGCTTTTCAAAGGGGCTGCAACAGTTCCAACCAGTGTTCTCTTTACTAGGATAGGCTACTTTTGTGTGTTCACCCAGGACAATGGTAGCTTGTGTATGATTCGTGAATCATTACCTAGG